TACGTGCAAGTATGTATATATATATAGGGACGCGCATGGTCACTTGAGGAGATGATCGTCTCCCACGGGGGAAACGCCTCGTCGCCGACAAACTAGACTATTTATTCCCCTAATTTGAGCCAATTTAAGGAATTTAAATCTCTGAAAAGTTCTATCTTATGGAATGTATCCTTTCATAAAATATATAATTATAAATTATCATCTTCATTTTCCAAGTGTCTTATAAAACGTGTTAGTTTTAAAAGTACTTTTGCAAAAGCAAAATTTGTCAAATTATTTATAATTACTAAAGCTAATAATTATTGATAATTATTAATGATGTCTTTCAATGGACTGTCAAATTGGTCGATACAAATGGAAATATGTAATTGCATAAAGCAGTTATTAAAAATTAGGTTCTCTACAATAGCAAAATTAGATTTCTGTATAATTATAAATTATCGTCTTTGTTTTCCAAGTGTCTTTATAAAACATGTTAGTTTTAAAAGTACTTTTACAAGAGCAAAATTTGTTAAAATATTTATAATTAGAGGTAATAATTATTGATAATCATTAATAATGGACTGTCAAACTGGTCAAATGGAAATATCTAATTGCATAAAGCAGTTATAAAAAATTAGGTTTTTATCTACAATAGCAAAATTAGATTCAGAAACTGTATCACCGTTATTAATACTATCATGCCGTTATCATAACCGACGTGAGAATCACTTTCCGGGCGCGAGAGATTCCCGTTCTAGAACGACATTCTTCGATTCGTTCAACAACTGTGGCGGTGAATGCGGCAAGTGCATCACGATGCGCGCGATTTTCCGCGTAATCATTAAACAGCTGCTGCCGGCCGCTGACTTTCGCGCTTAATTAATGAGCCTTATGTGCCACCGTGCTTATAAATATCAACCGGGTCCGCGGATATTTCGGTCTGGCGGCGAATGTCGGGTCAATGTTTCCAAGGGTACCGCGCGCCCGTCCATTCTCTTTTCGAGAAACGATCTATGCGATTGATCGCGGGAAGCAGACATTAATTGCCGAAGATGAATCGTGAAAAGCTACACGATGATTTAATTAAGCGATTCCCTCTTCTTTCTCCACCTCCCCCGCGCGCGTGAAGGCTAAATGAGAATTTTTCATCTCGATCGTTATCCACAGGGAATTTCCTTTTCGGATCCAGTTGCAACTGTAAATCCTAGAGTAATTATCGTAGCGGTCGATACGGAGAAAATACGGAGACGGGACAGGTAGACGGTAGCGATGTTTGTTTGAAATAATTTTCGTGCGAAAGATTCCTATTATGTGAGAATACACGCTGCGAGTTTACAATCTTGTACTCATCAACGCGCTTAACAATGCCATTTAACAGTTAGCACGCGCGACGATACATATGTATGTTTTTACTTGTGTGTTTCTCTTCAAGGGAATCGGAGCGCTTATGGAATGGTGCAATCTAATCACGTCGAAATATATAATATAATCGAATGGTGCAATCTATCACGTAAAAATATGCAAATATTTTGGAAATATTATTTTATCTAAAATGGTCGAGACTCCTTCAAACTAGAATTTTCGAAGATCTGTCAAAATTGTTTTTATACAGGATATCAGGGCAATCTCTTCTCAAAAAAAGCTAGCTTACCTCGAGAGCTTTTCAAAACACTATAATAAAGTATTTTTTTATCGAGTACTTTTCGAATTATGAGGCTTGAAATAATTTCTTAATTTTTACATAAATCATAAAATATTCGTTTTTCGATTATCTTACCTTAATACTTTTATGTACAAAATAATGAGAGGAATCAATTGGTGTAAAGAAAACACATAATTGTTTCGAAAAAACAATATATAATTGTTAATTGCGAATTACATATTTTTTCTCCGAAACAATTATATGTTTTTTTTTTACACCAATTGATTCCTCTCATTATTTTGTATATAAAAGTATCAAGGTAAGATAATCGAAAAATGAATATTTTACTGGATGCTTTATGGTTTATGTATAAAATTAAGAGATTATTTCAAGCCTCAAAACTCGAAAAGTACTCAATGAAAAAATACTTTATTATAGTATTTTGAAAAGCTCTCGAAGTAAGTTACAAGAGCTTTTTTTTCGGAAGAGATTGCCTGACACCCTGTATAATTAATAATTATTATGAAAAGTTATATAAATTTATATAATAATTTTGTAATATTTTTTATAAAAATCGTGCCGTCACAGAACGTGTGTAAGCTACTGTAGATTATCCGTAGTTTCTCCTTCTCGTTTGACGAAAGAGAAAAGTCCCCGTTTGCGTCCTTGTTTGACTGGTGTAACGGGTTGTAAAGTTGCAGCCGTTGAGCGCGTGATTTGTCACTCTTGGCGCTCCGGAATGACTCGCTTCTATCGGCATTCAACAAAACCCCGTTGATCTTGTGCGTTAAGCAGGAAGACGCGTTGCTTTTGATTCGGCACGTTCATTCATTGGACCGACGAGAGATGCACAAACGTGACGACGACGACGACGACGACGATGACAAAAGCGCCTGCGCCTATTCAACTGAGATTCAAATCATTTTCGTCGAAGACGAAAGAATAGAAGAGACACGTAACAAATGCACGACACTCGCAATTTGTGTCCAAGAGTCACGCGGATGGAATTTGGAAACGGAATGTCGAAGAGAACATAGACAAAAACTAGAAATTTGATCATTAATTCTGACATGACCGAATATTACGAGATAGCGAGTCAATAAAATGATTAGAAAATAATTGGAAATAATAAAATAACAAAATGAGAGATAGGAAAAAATACTGATTATAAAATTGAATAAATAGTACTTTATATGCCCTAGTAATACACCAAGTATTTCTCATGTGACAGTTCTGTTGTAATTTCTCTCACGCGTGTAGGACAAGATGTACGGCAAATCGCATCGAGCATCTCTCCTTTTATATCGAGACGCGTCTCTTTGCAAAAACTCACGAATCTTCGTCTACGTGCCGCTTTTAAATGAGCGTCATCTATAAAATGCAACGAGGAATTCCCACGCAGGCGTTGCTACCGCCCTTCAGGGTCAACGATCTCTTTAGATATATACGAGCGGGTCATGCGAAGCGATTAGAACTAGCATTGTTCGAGACTTCCAATAGCATTAGCTTATTTCCGAGGGTAAGTTATTGCGTGCGTTGTTTGATAAATTTCCGGAGTCGTAATTGGTGATGATGTGTGATGAGGATGATTTCAATTACACGTGATATCTTCTTTTTTTTTCTTCTATATAAAACCTCTTAAAAATGAGCGAGAATAGATAAATATAGCTAATTTATATGCGCAACGTTTAATAACATTCCAAGTTTACATAAGAAATTTCGTAGAAATAAATTTCATTCATTTCTTCTTCTCCTGCGTCTATTTTACATTTCAAATAACGCTACGGAATTTCATTTAAGACTCCTGTCGTCATAAATTTCAATCACATTCAATAATCGGCTCACAGATAATTCATTTGGATCTCGGCCGAGCGTGGCATTATATCGTGAAAACAGTATGGATCCTAATTCGAATGAATCTAATCCGAGAGAGAGAGAGAGAGAAAAAGAGAGAAAGAGAGAGAGCCAAGGCCCTGGAATAATAATCTTTATCAGAAGGAGCATTGTGGCCGACGTTTTATTTATGGAGAACCTAAGATGATTACGAGACGAGGGCACTCCTAAACGTAGTGTGGCACCGACGTATGAGAGATTAGTTGCGCCACAAAAACGCCTACCTAACTCGCGTTTCCGTCGGGACCATAAATCCATTTGATTCTCTTTCGACGGGAATGCGCTTAAACGCGATGCCCTCGACGCGGCCGAAGACAAAAAAAAAGAGGAACGTGGGTTATCTGTAGAGGACATGTACCGTTATGCGCGCTGATCGTATCGCTGCACTTTCGCGATTATGCAATATTTGCCGAAGAGCGAGTTATTTTCTGACTTACGGCCTCTTTGTAGGAGGTACACATATACTTCTTGCTTCTCATTTTTCCGATTTTACCTTTCACGAACGATCGAGATCGTAATCGCGTGTTGCGGTGGACAGGTCGTTGAACATTGTCCCCTAGTCGTCAGTTACGAGAGTTGTACGTCATAATTCAATTATAAAAAAATTTAATCTTGATTTTTTAAATAGATATATCAATAGCAAAATGCACTTAATATTATTTCACATAAATTTACAAAAAACGAGGATATATATTGATTTTATAGTAATTTCTTCTGTCAAAATTTAAGAATAATATGGAAATCACACACAGAGAAAAATACAGACTGTCAAGTACATATAATTGACATTCAAGTAAATATTATTTATTTTAAGTATATCATAAGTTTGTATATCCGCAAATATATCATAAGTTCGCCACAAGCATTAAATTTAATTCAATATATATTCTGAATTTTAGTAACTGCAGTATTTTGGTCAAGAATATTAAATTAAAACAAAAATTTGATTTGCTTACTACAAGAGTTGACATAAAGTAAGTTTGATTTTTCTTTGATACAACTTTACAATATTCTTGAAGAGAAAATAAATTCCTCTTTTGAGTACATGATAATGAGATTTTCTAACACTTATGATGAGTATATTTTAAGATTATTATCAAGAATATATTCTTTGTTGAAGAAAACTATTACTTAAAAAAAGAAAAATAAACTGAGTAATCGCTTTTCTTGGCAGTAGAATGATATTTTCTTTGTGCATACACATACTTGCTTCAATAAAACTGTGTGCTTCTGAGGACAGACCAGAGTGTGTATTAACAAAAATAAATATTTTATGAGAGAAGCTCTATCGCGTTATTCATCCGACTCTCGTAAAATCGCAGTTTTCCTCTGAGATTCGTTTGAAAGGAAGCGTTTTTCTGTGAATCATTGATGAACAATAACAAAATCCCCGCCGTGGAGGGGACCGTGTTCCTTTATAATTCGTCCAATTATCACGGAATCGCGAGATTTATTTTCACACTGTGATTTCTCTTTGTTTCAGGAGTAACAAGTACCTGCAAAAATCGTCCGTCAGCCGCGTGTGCGCCGTCGGAGGTTTTTTCATTAGCATTCCGGTCTTCTTAACCGGTAAGAAACAAACTTAGCTCTCAGTTGTCGAATTTTATGTGAGAAAAATTACATAATTTAAAAAGATTATCAAAGCCAAGACTATTTTCGTTAGAAAATAGGCTTGAACTTTCAGATTAAATTATGAAAACGCATCGAGATACGCGCTTTATTTACCTCATATTGTTATCGACACCATCAATTTATTAATCCCTTGTGTATGTGTGATCCATAGGCATGATTCTGTACACATTCATCCAATTTCACTCGACACCGGCGATCGTCACGTCGGTCTTCATCGGCCTCGGCATCGTGTTTTGCGGGTGCGCCATGGTCCATAACGTCTTCGTATGGCAGAAAGTGAGTGTGCGCCTGGAAATGCAGCTTTTTTTCTTTTTACCTGGCTCTCTCCCTTTCCCTCCTCCTCTCGACTTAACGGCGTGCGAATTCTTTCGATCATCGCGATATACGGATCTCCGTCGTAGACGGAGATCGCCACTTTATTTTCTCGTATTTCACGACCGGCGATGCATCGGCCTGCACCTCCCTCTCCCTCGTCCCTCCTCTCCTCGGCCATCGGCTCTGCACCCTTAATCTCTCCCCGCCGTGCCTTATTAGCATATCCTGCAACGGTCGATGTCATTATCACGCTATTATTTACGTCGGTGATCATTCTACCGTGTAATTCGATTCCAAACTGGATCCGTACGCAGGACGTCGTGTATGCGTGTCGGTGAACGTAAACCGACGTGTTCGACGTGGTCGAGGTTTAATCTATAAAAAAAGAAAAAAAAAAGATCGATAGTAGGATAACTATTTTACACCGCGGGACACCCCTCGCTCCTCGCGTTACGTAATTAAGCGGAAGATTTTACGTGTAACTGCACTCGTCACGGCTTCCCGTCTCTCTCCCCATGTGATAAATTTTGCCGTTACATAAATTACGTGATGGAGAGAAAAATATTTTGTTTACCTCCTTCTTTTGCCGCCTTCGACGGGGTAACAGAGATTTTTACAACATACTTACGGTTTAATATGATTGCCGTTATCTGTTCTTGATTAAATAAAATTTAAAGGAATTCATATTTAAATACTTTAAGTTACTTAAATATTTTAAATAAAATTTATTAATTATATATTAGTTATTTAAATATTTTAAATAAAATTTAAATAAAATTTAAATAAAATTAAAAAGAATTCATATTTAAATACTTACTATTGGATCTTCGAAATTTCGATATAATTAATAATTTTTTTCTTCCCGGGAAGTTTTAAGATTCTTGGCATATTTCAAAGAGAGTTGTCTCGATATTCTGCCAAAAATTATCTTAATGCAATCGGGAAATAACTTGAAAAATGAAAATATTTATATTTTATCGCCTTGGGATGTGTGGAGTCGGCGGATATTACGTGAAATATTTCCAGCTCTGACACTGACCTCCTAATTCCCGTCACGCGCACGCACCTCGAGTTTGCGCGAATTCCACAAACATGCGTGATTCAGATTCTTGCGCTTTGTAAACATTAGCATCCGTTTATCCACTGAAATATGCATCAGTCTTGCTATAAAAATAACTTTACTTTCTCTTCATTAAATTTCTAAAAACTCTTGCATTAAAGTTTTCTTTCCAATCTTCTCTCTCCATAATCTCTCCTTCAATCCTCTCATCAATTGTGATTGCTACTATTACGTGTATTTGCTAAAGTATAGTAGTTACATCTAGATAAATAAAAAATCAATATAATAATTCTGCAAGATGATATAAAGCAAATCTTACGAAATAATAATTTAATCTCGACAGAGAATAGCAAATTAAATTTCGCTTTCAAATCTATCTACTTTTAATTCCTTGCGTACATTTATTTCGGAAAAGGATACTTTCCTGAAATTACGCCTCCCCAATTTTCTCCCTCGATAAACCTAATCGAGAGAGCGTAAGAAACTTCACGAGATAATCTTCCTTTATGATTTCCAGGAGAAGACGAACGCGGTGAAGGCGTTCGCTCGCGAACAGTGCGAGGCCGCGGCGCAGCTTCAGCGTCAACAGCAGCAGCAAACGCACTCGCAACACCAACAGCAGCATCAACATCATCACCAGCAGCAGCACCATCATCATCAACATCAGCAGTCGCAGTTACGACCGACGCTGCACCCGGGCTCGAAGATCGGCAGCGGCTCGATAACGGTCCATTCGACCGCCAGCCTGCTGGCCCAGTCGCCTCGCAGTCTCCAGCATTCTTACCAGCATCACCCTCATCAGCACCATCCTCACCAGCAGCGGCACGTGTCCTCCATGTCGCCGCCTTTGTTACTATCGTCCCCGCATCCTGCGTCGCAGCTTAATCACCTGACGCATCGCGGTGCCGTCGCCGCCGCCGCCGCTGCCGCTGCCACGCCACCGACGACACCCGGCGACCGGTCGCCGCCGAGCCCCAGCGGCGGCGGAGGCAGCGGCAAACTCAACAGGTCGCAGCATCTGCCGCGCGAGGCAAGCGGCAGCGTCAGCCCCGGCTTGCCAGCGGCCACGCTCGATCTCAGCAGCGCCGCCACTACAAACAGTCCTCACGAACTGTCGACTCTCGTCTAGAGATCTTGATGGAACGTGAAAATAATTCCGAGAGAAATTCAGGAATCCAATTTATTCGAAGGAAGTGTTCTTTGTCCGAGCGAAGAGATTATCTTCTAAGCTCTACGAATCGTTTGTAAAGAACGGATTTTTAAATTTGTTTGGAAATAGACTTCACGTACTTTAGATAGATCTAGACTTAAAAAATGTCGAAGAAGGGTAGAAAAAATTTATACGAGACTTTATTAATCTTAATATATCAATTATAAATGAAAGATTTTTGCCTAAATCATGTAATATAAATCTGTATCTTTAGGATCGAACAGATAAACTCTGTGTGAAGCTAAAATGTAAAAAAAGCTAATTGTAATTAATGTATAGATAAAACTGATGTTGTCTAGCAAGAAGGGATCAAAAATTGCCGACTAAGACTGCCATTGTTTGTTTTATTGTCGTATCATCAACGTTATTGTCAATTAATATTTATTCTATTACAAGAACATATATATTCCTGACTTGGTCCATTGAATTGTCAGATCAGCTTGATGATGATAAATCCTCGCAAACTTTTTGCCCACCGAGTATATAATATCCACGAACCCTTGACCAGCAATCGCCGGGAAAATACCGCCCAGAGTCTTGTTGCCGGCAATTTATTTTTGGGGTTCGTGCGTTTGGCAGACTTAGTCCCGAGCTTAAACGTAACTATACATAACACTGTAAGTGGCGTGAGTGCAGAGATTAAGGGACTGAGAAAGGGAAGAGTTTTGCGCCCTTTGTAACGCGTGCAACACGAAATGCCGAAAGCAAAAATGCCAGTTGACTGAATTCTCCCGTATAACTTTGTTGACCATCAGTAAAAGCATGAAATACAAGGTTGATATTGTCAGTTTAACTAATTTCTTCAATCCAAAAGATCGCAAAACATTTTTGCTTCTTTTTCATTGAGTTTACATTAATTAATATTACTGATGTAATTTTTATTTTTAATTGCCAAAATTTGGTTGAATATCTTATTGTAGCAAGTAATTATGTAAGAATTTTCAAAATTACCTTTTCATTTCGTAGCTTTTACAAAATTGGAAATTGAAAAATACTTCCTTAATGAGCCTAATGAAATATTTGAGAGAATTTCTTTAGAATTTATTGAGCAAGATTTCATCAATCGTGTCTTCGTCCATATTGTTCCGACAATTACCAATGGCTTTGGAACTTATACTCTCAAAGCCACCGTCCTCATAGTCCAGGTCGTTATACCAGTATTACTCTCATATAAATTTTTTTATTTCTTCCCACCGGTACATAGTTCTCACATAGTCAGAATGTCCAAACTGTCTTAATCCTGCTAGTATTGTAACTAACGTGATTTAATGACTTGCCGATAGAGTTAGTTCCTGTTGACCTTGACGAGCTATACATTTTTTTGCATACCACTACAATATTCTTGAGCAGGTTTCGCTTGCTCAACTATTTGTCAATGTGTTTGGAGGAACCGTATACATACATATACATTATATATATGTATACATGATATTCTCAGAGAAATTCCACACTACGTTCATGTAACGCGAGGATCCTTTCGCCGAACGAAACTTGCCGATTTATGCTTTCTTTACGGGTCGTATATCCCGCTATCAGCAGCGAGAGCAGCAACAGGTTCCTGTAACCTGTTGCGCAACGTTGATGAAAAAATTCCTTATACCAAATGCACGTTGCATTTGTGCGTCGTAAGTATTTTCTGGTTACCTGATATCATTCTTGCAATATATATCAGGTAACCAGAATGAAATTCCTGCGGTTTCCGATATTGAAAATATAATGTTTTAATAAAATTTCAACAAACGAAATATTTCATTTATTGAAATATATACTTTTATAAACAAAAAGTCTTTTTAGTATAATTCAAATTTATATTGTAAATATGCACATGTATATTCATGCACGTTGCGCAATGTTGACGAAAAATCCTTTCTACCGAATATATGTTGCATTTGCCTATTTTATGATATTATTCTGATAATATATATCAAGAAAAACCAGAATGAAATTCTTGTGGTTTATCATATCGAGAATATAAAGATCTAGTAAAATTTTGATAAGTAGATTTCATTCCTTGGAATATATGTACCTTTACAAACAAGAATTCTTTTTGGCACGATTCAAATTTATAAGATAAATATACATATGCATATATACACATGTAGGCAAAAGTATACTGGTTTTATATTCGTTTGTCTATATTGTTTGTTAAGATATTTTAGAATTAATAAAAAACGCAATAAGAGCATTAAAGATTGTTAAAAAATTGTTGCCACACGATGTATATCAATGTCAATTAATGCTTTGAAACAAAACGGAACGTTTTGATATATGTCATTAAAACATTATTTCTAATTTCAACGCCTTTTGGCAAGATAATTTCTTCCCTTTTTTAAATGGAAGAAGTTATCTTGCCAAACAGCATTGAAGTTAGGAATACATCAAAATGAAAAATATTAATCAAATCCATTCATATTTCAGTCGAGTAGGTTCTTCCTTAAAAAAGGAATATTTTATAAATATTATTTATATTTTATAAATATTATATCGTTTAGTTACGAGTCCAGAAATTACATAGGTATAAAATATGTGATAATTTCAATGAAAGTTATTCTAGTGACTTTAATAAGATAAGTAAAAAAATAAATAAAAATAAATATGGACGTAGCATTATCTGGTATTGAATCTATAAAAAAAATTTTGAAACAAGATCTATGTTAAGATAATTTGGTAGTACAATGACATCATTACATCGGCTACAATTATAAATTTACTACGTAAACCGACTGACAAATATTTATACACATTAACCATTATATTAAGTGTTACAATTTTGATGTGAATGATTATTTCAAAAGAACAGAAAAAATGACATTTTTTCCTATTACAATTCGATAGTTCGATAAATTGAGGGAACACGATCAATCTTTTATGACTTTGTAATTTTCATATTTCACATTTTATTTTTAATAAGTTGTATCATTTATTATTATTATTATTATCTTGTTATTATTTGCTGTTATTTATTGGTGTAATATAATATGGTTATAAAATGAATGTCAAAACATGTCATGGTTTTAAAATGTTATATATTAACATTATATATATTGACATTGCGTATGCTCTTAATTTTGGCTGAATCTAAGAGTATATGCTAATTAGATTCATGAATTTTGCAACAGTTGCGAAGCAGCTTTTTCTGCTGAACGCAGCCATTGATATACGTCATAAATCAACGTCATACAACAACAGTTTTTTAAACAACTTTGCTCTATTGCGCCTGTTATTAATTCTAATAAATATTTTTAATAATAAACTTTATTTCCTACATTTATATTAAGATAATTTACTAAAATTGCATAAAATTATATTTCGATGATTGCCGAAAAACCCCAATTATTTCGAGAACAAATATACTCAAGTACAATGATTGAAATATATTTCAATCAATATATATACAATAATGTATGCATACTTTCGATGCCTTAAAAATCGAAAGATGAGAAATTGGCATGTATGTGAATCTTGCCATGTTTTTACTTATTATTATTATTACTTGTACTTATCTTACAGAACCTCTAGTCCTAGATTACTTTCATTCATATGGAAGCATAAGACTTTAGAATTCTGATTAATATTATAATTACGCGGATAAGATGATTGAAATTTGCGAGTTCGACATAGTGATCGAATTTTTGTTTTTACGAAATTAAATTTTGTAAGAAACGAAAATTTGTATGTGTGTGTGTGTGTGTGTGTGTGTGATGTGTAAAAAACAAAAAAATACGCATATAGTAAATAGGATATCGAAATAAAAAAAAATCAAGAATTTCAATCAGAAAAATGTGAATCAGGCCTTGATTGTTACAAATTCTTTAAAAGCAAACTTATTAATATCTCTATCAATAAAATAATTAAATGAATTTTTTAATTTGAATATGATTGGATATTGGATCTTTAGATGACTCATGAATCAAATTTCTCTTTTTTTAAATTATCTCAGCACTTAATACTTAAAAGTTTTAAATTATAAAGCTACTATAAATTTATTCTTAATATTTAGAACATTAGATTTATAATTTTATATGCGATCGTATGAAGGATTCATTGAAAAATATTATATCTTATACTACTTTTAAAAATAAAATATGAGTATATGTTATGTTTGTGTGTGTGTGTGTGTGTGTGCAAATGTGCATCTGAGGAAGAGAAAGAGAGAGCTTCCATCTTTATCGAGAGTTCATTTTCACTTTGCTTGCTGAAACGAGAGATTAGTATTTTACATCAAATTTTTATTAAGCATAAAAGATTTTATATTTTATAATTTAATATAAAAATCTCTTCTTTCAGATATAATAAAAGTAATATTTATTGAGATTATTTGAATATACAATAGTGTCTCTCTCTCTCTCTCCCTCTTTATATAAATTTAAAAAATGTAATGTTTATTTTAGTTTGTATAAATCTTTATACTTTGAAATATATGTATATACATTGTATATACATACGTTTGCGATATTTATAGCAATCGCAATGTAATTTCCTGTACAATTGAAAAAAAGAGAAAGTAAAGAGAGAGATTCATCATTTACGGTATGTTGCACTGAACCATAATACGAACTATGTAATGATTTACGTAAACGTTTGATAATTCGTAAATATGACATAACATACTTATGTTGTTACAAGTATAGTTCCATATTTGAGGAATTACGTCTTACGAAATTATCATGTGAATATAGATACACGGAAAAATACATGCAATATATAAAAAAAAGAAGGAAGACAATTATGGAAAGATTAAATTTTAAATATTAAAAAATGAATGACTTTTAGACTCGTGAATATAAAAAATGAAATACGAAATATATAAAATATCAAATAATTAAAAAAAATAGAACTTCTATTATATATTGTATAAATACGTAAAAGTTTCATCATCATATTATCATCATATTACCAACATTTAAGATCTGAAAATGATTTATAATTATTTTACATACTTGTTATATCATGTTACATATTTAAATTCGTTCAATTCTCATCAAATTACCTGGATTTTTAAATTTTCTATTTAATAATTATTATATGGATTAACTTAAACAATTAATATTTGCAGTTTACATCTAGCTTATGAATCGAATTAAACGCATTCTCAAAATGAGAGAATGTTAATAAGCTTTTACTTGCATGACATACAAATAAACTGAGAACAACTTAATATATATGTACATAACGAAAAAAATATACACGAGTATATTCTCGAGATGTGTATTTGAAACGGGCAGGGTAAGAAACTGAAAATATGTAAATTGTTTCGCCACATCTGTAAGTAGTGTAGTAATAATGCATTTGCAAGTAATGCAATAAATATGTAACTTAATCATGCGAATAAGTTATTCATGTTGGGTCCACATATAATACACATAGTACAAAAGTGTTTTAGCTTTATGTACTGATAATTATGTAATAACAGTAGATGTACTTGCTATGTAATTAATTAAAGAAGAAAAATAAATTATTCTGAATATATACTGCATAGGCTATAAATAGATTATTTTTGATCATGATATAAATGCTAAGTTTTTTCTCTGCTCATGTTATATAATTTATATAACATGTTATATAATTTAAGTATTTTTTTTAATGATTTTATTAAATTAATTTTTATTAAGTTAATTTTTTTAGTATTTTTTAATATTTTTTAATGATTAAACATGCATTAAAATATCGATTAATCAATAAAATAATATTGCATAAAACTTTTCAATTGAGAAATATATTATTAACTTAATTAATTCATCGAAAACTACAAAAAATTAATATTTTCCTTTGATGATATAGTGAAATTGAATGGATTTATATGTGATGATAAATATAAAAATTTTATCTTTTTTTGTGATCTTTTCATTAAATTAAAATATGAATTATATATTTATTTGTTGAATTAATATTTGCTATATATCATTATAAAAATAAAGATTATCAGAGACGATCAGTGATAATGCAAAATTTACAACAAATGCTTTGCAATAATTACAACACTTTACAACAAAAAGTTTGGAAAGCATTTGATTTTCAAGGACTAAATTAGTGGAAATGTTTATAATTGATTTCTAAGTTTTTTATAGTCATACCAGATATAAAGAATTTTATTATAAATCATGTCATAAAATTTATACATATATGTATATTATTTTTTTTGTACGTTTGAATAGATCTAGTATGGACATATCATTTTTCTGTAGAAAATTTATACAATTATGCGTATATATTATGCAACTATAATATATACTATAATATATACAATTTGTTCAGAAAAATATTAAGTTGCACAAAAGAAAATCTATGATAGTTTGGACACAACTTTTTATCGCTATATACATAATGTTAAACTTTATTATCATTACTTCATAAGAAGTCTTATTATATTCAATTTTACTAATTGTAAATATAAAGTTTACATTTAAGCCAATTTAATGTTATAAGGCCTGTAAAGTTAATAACCACATTTATTAACTTCTTGCATCATTAATAGTAGATGGTACTCTCACCTCAATACCATCTAATTCTGCAGTCATTATGATTTGGCATCCCAATCTTGATCTGTAATTGAATATTTCAAAATTACAATATATCATGATAAAGAATAAATTGAATGAAATGAAATTTACAATAATTCTTAAAAAGAAGATGTATGATAAAGGAAAAAAAACTGAACCAATTGATTTGAATAACAAACAAAGGGTTGTTTTGGTTAAAGGTGAATTGTATTTCCTTAGAAATGTATGTTGTATAAAATAGTATTAGATGCACACACACTGAAAGCTAATTCATGAATAAATGTAATAGACATTATAATGTAAAATTTGAAGTGTTTTCTTCTGTTTACAGTTTTATATCAGTATAGAAGATATTTCTCAACTCAAGAACAAGAGAAAGAAGGGAAAAGAGTTGATTCAAATTTTTTAAACGTACGTATCTGTTAACTCATGTGCCAAATCCAACATATCCATTTCCTCTTCTGCAGGTTTCTTTGGAAGATTATCATAAACATCTTTAGGGAAAATTAAATGACACGTGCTGCATGTCAATGTTCCTTCGCAAGCACCTATATTTTCAAGATGGACAATTTTCCTTCATACTTTATCAAAGTAACTTACAATCAATAAGAATAAAAAAGTTTGTAAAGTTTTCATACCGTAACCATCCAAATCGATTTCATTATTCACAACAATGTCTAAGATACTGTCTCCTATTTTTCCGTTTGCTTTAATTCTCTCTCCATTAGCCTTAACAAATGTTATACTAACCCTGAATCAAATAGTATTTATTTTATATTAGACATTTAATAGATAAAAATTCTAGAGTACATTTAGAAAACTTCATTTTTCTTATGCATTTACAAATTAAATTACACAGCATATCATTAATTATAATAACAATATAAATATTTACATTTTATTAAAGTAAGATCTAATCTATCTAGAGAAATATATATATATATATATATATATATATATATATGTATGTGTGTGTGTATTTTCTTTACAAAGTCATTGCAATTTCTACAATGTCTTTAAAAAGAGAAAGGTGTTAACAGTACTAACAAGCTTACATTACCAGTAATTTTATTCTTAAGATGCTAATCAGTTTGCGAAAAAAAATGGATTAAAATTTAAAAATTCGATAATCATTTCGCCGATCTTTCTACTCACTCTTTCTTTTTACACAACGGTTGCGTGGTAGACGCGGTTCTCGTCGAGGACAGCTGATTAACCATGCACTTGGCGTAATTCGAATCAAGGGCAAGGAAGGACCTGGATAGTCTCTGCAGTTTTTGAACCAATGCCATTATCAGAGAAATAGAAATTCGATTATTGTCGAAATATATTCAACCAGCACGAGTATATTCAACCGAGTGAACAATATCGCGTCAATAAAGTCTCAACTAAACTAAGAGGTTAAACTCGTGCATGCTTGACGCACCTTCGAACTATTCTTTCTTCAGCCTTGTGCGTTTGCTAATGAATCGCGATAGCAAAAAAGACAACGCACGTAGACTGTGCGAAAGTTACGAGTCACGACAAGTTACGAAATGTTCTCGACACCGTTACTTTCTCTCAATTATCAGCCTTTGTCCACGAAGTCTACCACGCGATCGCGACAGATCCCGACTGTCCTGACCCTGACTGATCTAGAATCAGAATCCAATCGTTTGATTCGCATGTTAGTATGCGCATGCGCAGCCATAAATGAAATGAATGTGTACAAATATTACATGCGAGAGCTTGGAGGACAGATGCAGAGATAGATACAAATCTTTTATACAAGATAATATATATTGTTATAATATCTATGATATTTATATTTAAACGATACAGAGATTCCAACACAAAACAAGTTATTATCAGAAATGTATAATTGAAAAATTTACAAATTTTAAGGAAATTTTTCAACGGACCACCTATATTAATTTAATTTTATATATATATATATATATATATATATATACATACACATAGATGTATATATATGTACTAGATACGTCATTAATATTGCGTTCACTACGCGCGAAAAATTTTTATATCAACACCGTGCGACAAAGCAAAACGGATTTATTTTCTCTTCTGGCAATCCTTTTTTTTCCAGACGTAACATTTTATCAGCAGCATACTTATAAAGCTATTCGATGAAGAAACGAGACCACGATTCGTTTAAGGAAAATAGAATGAAAAGAATATTACTAAATTCTAGAGATAGAGAGAGAGAGAATAAGGAATTTATTATGTAATCAATAATCTATATGTATATGTATTAAAATGCGTCTACACACGAGACGCATTCATTGATAAGACGCGCACGCGTTTCTCCACGCAAATAACTGAAAATTCAAAGTTGTATATTTAATTTAATATTTTGTATGTATCTCCATCGAGTATATATAATTATATTTGTTCACATTCTTACTAATAGTTCCTTCACAACTCTGTACTCTGATCATACGAATAACATATCACTTACACATTAAAATTACATAAATTGAAATTAAATGTTGCAAAGTTCGTAATATACTAGATACATTGTAATTGACATATATTCTTAATGGAAATATAACGTAAGAAATGTAAATGATGAAGGAATATGTAGTTTTGATTAAACAAGATAGCTTGAAAAAATATATGTAAATATGTAATTCTTAAAAAAAAGATGTCTAGAGATAATTTAGGAAAAAAGAATTTAAAAAATGAGCCAAATCAAAGATTCGTGAGAAAAAACGATTTCACAATTACATATCTGTCTTATCAGCCTTAATTTTTAAATCTTTAATCTTGTTATTTCCGCTTTTTTCTTCGAGAACCTCATTTTTTTCGCTTTCTTTTTCTTTTCCAGACTGCAGCTTCTTATCAGAATTACGAAAACGATCATAACGAGAATCCTCATCATCGCTCGATTTCGATGCTCCTGCTTCGCTTTCTCTTAAAATATCGCCTAGATCCTTATCGACGTCGTCCCAAGTCAGTTTATCGTCACCATGTGCGCGATAATCATCATCATCATCCTCGTCACCCTGATTATTCTTACCGTCTTTCGCATTCTTCTCTGATTCCATGCTATTTGACTTTTCCTCTTCGATTTTGATGTATTCCGTATCGCCTACACCATTATTATCAATTGTAATCACTACTTGCGTGGTATTTGTAGATGCTTGTGGTTCGGAATTGGCGGGAGAAGTTTTTGAAGTCTCTGACACAATGATCGCAGTTGAATTGGTAGAATTCAGATTGGCCGATGAAGACGATGACGATTGTAAATGTATTCTTTCTGCTTGACGTCTAAGTGCTTTGTCGTCGTTGTCTCGCACATATCTGCAACATATACAATTATAGAGATATTGCAATGCATTGACAATTTTTTTTACATCTCGATTTATTATACATATCGACAAACATATGGTATACCGTTTAAGATGGCTACGCATGGAACAATGTAAAGCGAGCGCCCTTTCCGTATTTTCGCTGCGTGGCAGATATACCTTGCATAATTCACAGTATTGTACCTCGACACGTTTTATATACTCGGCACCGACTTTTATCATTTGTTTGTTCTTCGATTTTTTCTCTGCTTCGCTCGAACTTTCACCTTCAGCTTTCTCTTTTTTTTTATCGCTAGATTCTTCGTCTTCTGCAAATAATGATGTAAAATATTTAAAGATAAAATGCGATATTTATTTAAACATAAAATGCGATATTTCGACACAACGCTAGCTTTAAAATAAACGATAAACACATTAATAAGTTAGAAATATTTGATACATTCGTTTGTCACGTACCATCTACATCGCCTACAGAATCCAATGTCATAAAGTTATCAAGATTAACTTCCTTATCGTCTTCTTCGGGTGCGCTCGAATCAGCTTCAGCTTCGCCGCTACCATTCGCATTCATTCTTTCTCGCAGTATACTCTTTCTCTGACGGGAGGAATGATTTATGTTAATGATATATAAAGTTTTAAGACAAGACTAAATAACATTGACATCATTATAAGCGTAACAATACCTTAATATGTTCCAGGGAGCACATATGTGTTTCGAAAAACATCGGTGAACGAAACTGGATACGACAAACGCGGCAGAATGGCGTGAGAAATCGTTTCATTTGACGATGAGATTCGGATAATTGATGGGCGGCTTTCAAGGAACGGTAATTCAATTTGCAAATGGCACAAAACATGGTACGTGAAGGCAATGTTCCACGTGCTGCATCACGAGCCTCGATACGTCTTTGTTCTTGCCGTTGAACAACTCTCATACGCGTGAGAGTCGCCTTGTGTCGAGCTGCGATACGCTTCATCGCCGCGCTATGACGACCCGAGAACAGGTGAAGCGAATATTCTTTGAAAGTTACGCTATGATGGGCGCAATGCGGACATTTCAGTTTTATGTATTTTCTACCGTCCCGTCTGCTCGGTAATTCTTCAGAACCTGTTCTATCGCGTTCCGTTTTCTCGTTCTCATCTCGTTCTTCATCACCGTCATCATCGTCGTCATCTTCGTCCACCTATGTATTCGATAAAATGAATTTTCAACGAGTTGAGAAGATGATAATAATGATAATAGCGAATAGTTGCACAAATATAATAATTGTCAGTACTAATTAATCAATGTAGAGAATAACTCACTTCTCTCTTTTGATCGTCATCGTCTTCCTTAATATCATCATCCTTTTCTTCTTCGTCCTCGGTGTCTCCATGTTCTCTTTCTCTATCTTGTTTTTCTTTCTTGCGTTTGTCCTCCTTCTTCTTTTTCTCTTCCTCCTGTTCCATATCTTCCTCTTCATCACCTTCGTGTGGCTGTATAACGTTGATTGAACAAATATTATAAAATGATTCGCGAAATAGAAAAATATACACAAAATAAAAGAATAAAAGTATATTAGTTATACATATGCTTATAGATATATATCTCAAAAATATTATGATAGTGTGCTATTAAGTATACAGACGAGAAGACGAGTCGATCGTTGGCGAGAATCTAAATATTAGATTATAGTTTGATATTCAATGATTAAAATTTTAATGCAATATACCCGTAAATATATAATTTTAAATTCCAATTTATACGTTACATCTCTTATCGAACGATAGACTTGTGTGACTCAAAATAATGTCGAATTACCTTCTCTTCGTCGTCCCAATTACTCTTATTATCATCCTCTTCATCATCGTCATCGGAAAACTCGGCATTTATGGCTTTGGCCATCTCTCTATCCTTGTCCTTCACGCTGGTTCCCGATCCTGAGTCCTTTTTACTTCCGGGTAGCCTAGTAGTACCGCTACTAATGACACAGCAATTTTGTTTTGACTTATATTACTTTTCTTCGTTATTTTTCCGTTTCTGTGCTCCTTCATTTTTCGTGTTGTATCATCGAACAAACTTGAGCTGATAGATGATACGTAGAGCAAATATCGCGATAATATCGATTTAGTCGATCTAGTATCGGTCTTATGTCCCAAAATATGAAATGCGTTTCGTAGCGTACGCTAAAAGTATCTACTATTCGTCTTTTTTTTTTTTTGCATCGCGTTCTTATTTCTTCACACGCACATTCGGCCGTACCAAAAATTTATTATATGAATACAGTATAGAGAGTCGTACCGCTATGCGTACCAAACTTTAAAGAGAATTACATCTCATGATGAATAAAGTACTATTATTTTAGTTCTCGTATCAAAAGCGATTATATATTGCGTTTTGATGATACACACATACACACATAGATATTGCGTTTATACGTATCATCATTGTGATTCCTTCTTTATTAACCCTGCAAAAAGCTCTCTCTCGGCAGCGGATTTATATATGTTTCGTGCGAATTGTTTGTATCTTGGACATATCGATTGATTTACTTATGTATTTATATTCACAGGTATTTTGTTTGTATATTGCTTTCGTTTATTATATGTATTTTTTTTTTCTAATCATCGTCTTGCGATATCCTCGGATCATCGACCGAGAGCCGGTTTGCGTTTCGAACCGACTAATTCAAAGGACGGATACGGCTATACGAGGATAGTATTTTGCGTACGGTATTTTGCGGTAAGTGTGACTGTATTAATAAATTTACCTCCTGCGCAATTTGGTAGTGGTCATGCGCATACGCTGGATGTAGTCGCGCGAGCGTGAGCCCAGCAGCTTTCGACGATAGTCGAGCGAGTGCAGAGTACGCTTGCGAGCCATGATGATGTCCGTGCGTGAGCTCACGCGATGAAACGCACCCCCTCTGCCGCTGCTGCCGCGGGTCGAGATGCGACCCCGGTAATTCGAGCTCTGATGCGATATTCTTCCACGACTCGAGGTGTATCTCTGAGTCGGGGGCGGCGCCATTTCGCTAATCCGAGGGGGTGGCGGTGGCGCGTAGCTCCGCGATGCGGAATGACGGTCCTCGGAACGGTGGTACGATGATGCGCGCTCGCTCTGTCTCTTGTCCTCGTAAACGGCGGACGACGATGATCCCTTATTATCGTCGTAGGGCGCCGATGCAGACGAGCCGCCGTATGACGAATACCTCTGTGAGCCGCTACCGCTACCTCCACCCTGCCAAATCAAATTCAATTGTGCTCCTTCCATGTATTTCTCTCATTTTTTTTTGTATTTCGTTTCCTGCCTTTCTCTATTTTATATTATTCTCTACGCACATATGTACATAAGTATACACGTACGTGTGCTTATGTATACGTATCCTTTTCCCCTCTTTCTTAAGTGCCCTTTCCTACCATTTATTCTTTGTAGATCTTTCTACATTTATATATCTATTTAATTCTTAACTGCGCTACCCTGTGTTCAACTGGGCTAATCGACTACCTTGACTGACATCGATCGATAGATTGAGATTCATCGAGTGATTGACTAAATGGCTAACTGACTAATTGATGAAAAATTGATTGATCGATTAACAGTATAATTGTCGGTGTAACTATATTGTGATACGTTTCTATTTTCTATAAATTCATTTTTGCATTTCATCATTTGATGATCGCATGCATGCAGTGCTAATCTTTTACCATTTAAAATGGTCCAGCGTCATGATAGTCACGGTCAGAGTGGGCGATTAATAATCACGGCCTCTCTATATATTCGTTTTCGTTGAATCACCTATATGTATATAATTTGATTTTCCCTAAATATCAAGAATCCCTAAATTTTCATTATGCCTTATATTTGACTTCGCGTAACCGTTCAATCTGTAAAAATGTAATCTCGTTCACATAACGTTTGCGATCTCTTGAAAATAGTGGGTTAGCAACGGTCATTTTTCTCGAGTTAACAAAGTCTATTTCGCCACTCGACGATGCATTCGATAATAGTATGTAATAATAATGTTCTCGATAGACCTTTCCAACTTAATCGAATTATGTTTCTTATTACGTATTCGAATAATTATATTGTTATACGTAGAAGAAATTCCTCCATACATATATCAAATCTCTCGTATATATAAAGATGATAATCGAAAGTAAGAAAGCTGTTGCTATGTATATATAATCATTTCTAAATATAATCGTGCTGGAAATAATAAGATGTATTTCGGACGATACATTACGTATGTCTACGTATACGTATAAGTATATATATATATATATATCTCTATTTTTATATGCTCGTTCACATTGTTCCCACATGTGCTTTCGAAGTACTTTCCATTATTACATAGAAATATTTTAATCATGAATTCTCTTTCTCTAAGTCTTCTTGTCATCGTTAACAAAGTCGATAACGGGAACATACGTCCGTTCTAATTGGAAAGGTCTACGAATATATAAATATATTATTACTCAAAACTTGCGCTCTCTCATATAACTTCTAATTTTCGACAGAATTTAGATAACTGATGGTACTGGGTGCTTATAGATGATATTTTGCACCATTATGAAAATTCCATGTCATAAGATGTCAGAGGGTACATCGTGTACTTTATCTTTTCTACTTTCTCTATAATCTCATCGTTACTGCATAATAAATTATCTTAATTGCGCTTATTGTTCTATAACGGGGAATAACTCGCACATATATGCGTATACATCTATTCGTTTGATTGTCCATTGACCTTTCTAAACAACTCTCAAACTTTAATACGACCCATATGTGCGAGTATAGTATATGCAATATTATAAATACCATCTAGGTATGTTTCGTCTTTGAATAATTTATCTTTTAATAATTTGACGTTTTCGTAGCGTTCCACCGCAGTAGTGCCCCAACGCAAAAAGAACGAGTGTTCGAGAAGCCGTTGACACGCGTCGCTTGAAAGGAAAGTGACAACTTATGAATGTTTCGCCTAAAGCACGCCATTTTTTTTTACATACGAGTGTCCTGAAATTATTTACTATTTTTTCATATAACTTTTAATCTTTGATATGGTTAATAACGACAAGTGATGAGCTTTCAGGACCATCGTTCTCAATTATATGTTATATAAGATAGAGAAATAATATTTAAGTCTCCCAATTAAGAATGATTTTTCAATTATAAAAATATCATTTTGGCTACCAGATGATTGCAAATTAATATCGTAATATTATTTTCTATATTTTCTTTATGTTTAGATTAGTAATTATCTTATGTGATATGGAGAAATAGATGGAGCAGATTAGAAAATGAGAGGAGAAGAACACATACCTGATAAGAATCACTTCTTAGCCTTTTACGTGCAGAGTCACTAGATGATCGATGGTCGTCTCTTCCAGAATAGGAATCCTATAAAAGATACTTTATTTTGAACAATCATATATGAAAAGGCATCTATGATTCTCTTATACATTTTATAGACTTACGCGAGGTCTCTTATAACTGTTTGAATGTTCACCACGACCACCTCTGCTTGAATATCTTTCCGATCCCCCTATTACAAAAAGTCATTAATATTAGTAGCATTGATTTTATTTATTTTACTGTTATTTTTTACATCATAAGTTTCATGATTTCTCAAACAGTAACTCTTAATTGTGCATGTTTTCACACTAATTACATGTATTTTATAGACATTTAACATTTGAACATTACCTGAATTATATTTGGACCGAGAATCATAGCTTGTTGTAGAATATTTAAATCTACCGCCTCTAGAAGAGGAATAACCTCCTCTGCCAGACATATTTCCACCTGTTGAACCACTGCTCCATTCATTTCCTCCGCCACCACCTCTTCCTCTATAAGAACCACCTCCACGAGGTATAAATCCACGACCACGGGAACTCATGGTGGAACTATAAAAAAAATTCAAAAAGTTTCAAAAAATTATGCTTCCAGTGTTACATTTTTTTCCATTTAATGTCTTGATATATTTCTGCATCTTTATTCAAAAAGTTTATTTGTAATTATTTCGACCAAGTGAAAAACTTATTAATGTACAAATAACATTTTATATAAAAGTATATATAGTAAGTATATATAGTATATATAGTAATAAGTTACATATAAATAAAAATTATTTAAAGTACAGGAGACTTATTTATTAAAATGCTTCATTGAAGTAAATCATTTTGTATTAATCTTGCAAGTCAAATGCAACTCTTGGGACACGAATACGCATACTTTACCAACCTGTATTTATTATAACCATAGCTCATGGTTGCAATATTATTGATGAACGAGATAGAAAGAGAAAGGAGATTGTAGTGGATGCAGCGTCTATGGACAAAATAAATATTTTTTATACATATATCTGTATCAATGTGTGATACAATTATATTTCCCAAAATTATGTCTCTTCATTGCTATAAATTGCCAATTCATGTTCAACATGATTATGATCAGTAAAATTGATATGAAAACGAATCGATTATGTATAATACGTGGAAATGAAATAATTTTTTTCTATGAGAAGAGAAATAATATAATGAAACGTTGATTGATTGCATCGGAGAAAATCATTATAAGCAATATGACGATGAGAAAAATATTTTTCTATTCTCTTTACATAAAATTCTCTGGAGATAGATTTGCCGTGAAATAAGAATTAACGATAAAATCGATAATATTCGAGGAATACTGAAAATAATGGCTGCTATCTTATCTATATAATGGCCATTATCTTTTGATAGCTCGCACATCGCATGAGTAAAGAACTTACCTTGCCGACTTCGAAGAGGTACAGTTTTTGTTTTCTTATTACGACGAAGAACACAATTATAATTAATGCTTCAATCCGTTTGATACGCGAAATATATTCGACTTATTTAGCGTCTTGATAAAAGTACTATCTCAATTTGCTTGCAAACTTTTATCTTCCTCCCGTTCTTTATAGATTTACGTTCCTTCAGGAAAAGTCTAAGCCAAATTGCATCATTGACCCATCGGAGCAGATAAAATGTCGGCCGAATTTTCGGAGTGGCGTCTCAGAATCATAGATTTAACGAGACATTAGATGGATAACATTTCTCACGCTACAAGCTTCGCACTGATTGGCTGCTACCGCAAGGAATCCTAGAGATTTTTTATTAGATAACCAATCAGTACGTACACTGCGCGACAACGATTCCTTCTATGGCCCCTTTCTCGCGGGGCAAGGGGACCGTAGAAGTGACCAATCAGCTGGCAGCGTGGCAGTGACTGATTGGTTAGAGGCTACGCTCTCCTTGCACCTGCTTTTAGGTGATCCCTGAAAGCGATACTCCCTCTATGGACATTGAAAACATGGACATGAACTACAAAGCCAAAGTCCATAAATGTTCTCAGAAAGTATCATGTGCACAATTTCTGGTTTCGTTCCGTGCTATGTGCACGAAATGCCGGTAGCACCAGAGTATAACAAGACACTCATGTATATAAATTGATAGTAAATAAATTATGCAATCGTGAAAGATACTGTAATCTTCCCATGTAATGTTCAAAGATGAAATAAATATTTTTCTATATTCATTGCCATGTTTATATATAGGAGGAGAAAGGGTTTGAGATATTCAAAATCACTGTAGTTGTCTTTTTTTTATTTTCTCAATTACTGTCTCTTTTTCTTTCTTTTTATTCAAAAATATTAATATAATTAAAAATAACATATATATATATATATATATATATATATATATATATATATATAATTTTTTGATATCTTTCTTAGTCTGACTCTTTCTCTTCGACTTGTCTGGCATAGGTAACCCTATCTAAGGCCGGCATTCATAATTCATTCTTATATTTAAGATCGTCTTAAGTAAGTTGGAAAATACAACTATTTTACTAACTAATCGGAATCTCAAGACGCGATCTAAGATCATACTTAAAATTATTTTAAATATAAAAATAGTCTACATATATGAATATCGGCGTATTATACGTTACTGCCGGCATAGCTCTTAGGTTCATTAGAGTACTCAAACCTCATCCGGCAAATGCCTCTGTAAGGTGGAGATACGAAGAAAAAATTTTTTTTAAATTTTATTTTTATTTTCTTTCAATACAGGGTTTAATACAAAAGTGAATATAAAATATAATTTGAAACTTAATACAAAATAATTTTTATTTATTACATGGAATAATTTAATACACGAAAATGTCTCTAAAATATACGTATAATATATAAATAAAATTTACTAAAAATTTTTATATAGTCCAGACAAGTCCGATTAGCGATGATTAATTATGCAACATTTATCATAAATAATCAATATGCGATAATAGAATTTAATAAATGACTCTAAATGCAGAATAATAATCTTTGTTCCAAGATATCGCAAAATATCACAAAATATCGCATTGTAATTGAACCTATACTATCCCTAGATAATTAATATTACACTGCGCCTATAAATATCGCAAAATATCGCAGAAAGTTCTTGAAGCGCATATTTCTATTTGTAATTTATTTTTATTTGTAATTTATTCATTTAATCAAGTAAGAAACAGGAATCTAAAATAATAAATTATAGTTTATCTAAGATTGATTTTTACAAGAAGAAATTATTACTTTAATGATATTTATAGAATAAAATATAATTCCCGCGACGCTTTATCTCGTTCTATTTTTCAATTATTTAAAATTTAATTATTTAATTTAGAATCAAAACGCACAGCAAAACAATCGAATCATAAGTTGAAATAATTAACATAATAAAAAGCTTTGCGATACATGAAATTTTAACAAATATTATTTAATTAATCCATGTAATCTAAAACTTTTAGACACTTTAACATTTCATGTATATGTTAAAGTACGTAAAATATATCAGCAGTGAATGGATAATAACACGGTCGGCTTTGGCGGCGTATGACGCGTTGTGTTTACATGTACGGTCTTGATATCATTCACACGGCAACATTCGAAGAGTAAGGTGCGAAATACTTCGTATATTATTAAATTTGTTCTCTAACGATAAAACACAATTATGACTAGTATTAAAACATAATTCGCTATGATAATTATAATTAGTACTTGCTAAACTTTTAATTGTAATTACTACGCGATCGGGAATGTCGTGCAAAATGTCTCGCGATTTTTGTGTATACTAATTTTAATTAACTAATCTTAATTAATTTTGTTTTCAGGAGTGAAAGTGAGTGCAATAAAAAAATAGCGAAGAAGAGAAAAAGCAAGTCTAAAAAGCACTGGGCCACGTACTAAGCAACATTATCCGGTAAATAGTTTATAAATTATTTATCATTTATATTCAGATTATATATATATATATATATATATATATATATATATATATATATATACATATATATATATATATATATATATATATATATATATATATATGTCATTTATATTCAGATCATATTATATATTGCATGTTTTCTCAATAACGATTCTCTCTCTTTCCCTCTCCCTCTCTCTCTCTCTCTCTCATTCTCTCTCTCTCTCTCTCTCTCTCTCTTATTGTAAATTATCTAAATTATTTAAGTTTTTAAATTATATTAGTATAACATATATATAAAATATTCTGGATTATCTTATTTTAATATACTTAAAATATCTATAATAAAATATTCTTATATTATTTAACACTTTTACATAGATAGTAATATTTCATAAACTGCTTTACAATAATATATTTAAATATTTTATGCATAAAGGATTCCATAATGAATAAATTGTTTAATAAATAATCAATTTTAATCAATCAATTAAAATACTTCTATAATTCAATATTCTACGCGTGTGTATTTTATAGTACATAAAATATTTCGAATTATCAATACAACGAATTATCAATAAAATCATGACTTTGGCAACAGTAGTGCGTTGTTTATATATTACAGTTTTGCTATCATTTGCTCGGTAATATTCAAGCAATAAATAATAATACGAAACGTTTCGTATATTAATTAATTGTTTAAATAATAAATAATCATTTAATTAATCTATAAATATAAAAACTTTTACAATTTAATATTTTGCGTTACAATCAAACAACTAAACTTCAAATTTTTCTAAAATGTGAACATAAATTAATTATTAATTAAATGACTGCTACCACAATTTTATTTATTATTTTAATATTTTCATTCTTATAATTCGTATATTATACAGCATATAATATGCGTATCAGTAGCATACGCATCGCTGTAGCAAGTAGCGAATGATTTTAATCTCGTGTAAAGGTCATGTTGCTCTTTTATCATTTAAGTGCGTATATAAGTTTCGTATGATTATTTTGTATGATTATTGAGAGTCTCGTGCAAAGTGCGCCACGTATTTGATTAATTATAATTAAATCGTGTTTTCGTGAGTGAGTAAATGCCACAAAGAGAAATAACGAAAGATATGTAAGAGAAGAAAGGATGTTTGGAACGTACGGAGTAAAATGAAGTAACATGAAGTAAAACAATCGAATAATATATGCAAATAATTAGCATAACGAAAGGCCCCGTGACAAATTGTTTAATAAATAATCAATTTTAATCCATAACTTAAAATGCTTCTATAATTTAATATTTCACGTTAATGTATATTTTATAATATATAAAATATTTTGGTAACGAATTATCGATAACACGATGTTGGATTTTGGCAATGTAAAATATAAACAGTAGCGCGCTATACGTTACCGCTTTGTCATCATTCGCACAGTGACTCTCGAGTAATAAAGTTGTGGTGAGAAACCCGTCGTATATTATAATTTTTTTTGTTAAACACGATTATGATTAGTCTTGAAACATAATTTCCTAAGAATATTAATAAATGTTAATTAATTAAAAATTAATTAACGACATGAAACTGTATTGCAACGATAAATCTCTATCGAATCGCAATCATTCATTACCGCGATTAAAAATTGAAACAGGTTATACATAAAAGAGGATAAGAGATTATGTTGCGATATTTCGATCATCGAAACTTATTACAATATTTCTTTATAATATTAGAATATAATATTAGAATTAAATATATTTCGACCAATGCTTTAAATTTTCTCAATCATTGTTAATTAAATACACAATTAAATCGAAAATTGATTAAATTATAGGGATCTAAAATATAAAATAATCACTTTTATAAGTGCTATTTTTACGGACAATAATTATTATTTTAATATTTAGAATCACAAATATATTTCGTCCGTGTTACTTTATCGTTCTACTTGATAATCTAAATATAATTTAGGATGTGAGAGAACGCGAAGTAAAACAATCGATTTATAGTTGCAAATAATTAGCATAACAAAAGACTGCGTGAATTGTTTGATAAATAATCAATTTTAATCAATAAATTAAATACTTTCATAATTTAATATTTTACGATATATTTTATAATATATAAAATATTTTGGTAACGAATTATCGATAACACGATGTTCGAGTTTGGCAATATAAAATATAAACAGTAGCGCGCTATACGGTGCCGCTTTGTCATCATTCGTACGGTGACTCTCGAGTAATAAAGTAGTGGTAAGAATCGTTTTGTATATTAGAATTTTTTTACTAAACATGATTACAATTAGTATGGAAACATAATTTACTATAAATTTTAATAAAAATTAATTAACTAAAAATTAATTAGCGACATGAAACAGTATAGCAACGATAAATCTTTATCATTGCAATCATTGATTACCGCGATTAAAAATTGAAACAAATTATACCTAAAAGAAGATAAAAGATTATGTTGTGATATTTCGATCATCGATACTTATTACAATATTTCTCTATAATATTAGAATATAATATTAGAATTAAATATATTCCGATTCGATGCTTA